GTTTAAGGTCTTAAACCCTCAAGGCTTAAGAAATACCCTAAGCCTTTAGACCCTATAGGGCTGAAAGGTTAAAGAGAGCGTAATGTCTGGGCATTTATACTTTCAACGCCTATAGGGTTAAACCCTTTTAACGTTTTAGAGCCCTACAGGGCTTCAGGGTTCTGACCCTAAAGGGCTTAGGGTTCTCGTTTACATGCTTAAACCTTACACCCTTAAGGTTTAAGCTCTATGGGCTTGTGTTTTAATGCCAAATCTTAAACCCTACGCCTTTCAACCTTAACCCTATGGCCTATAGGGTTTAAAGGTTGAGCGTTTAGGACCCTTAAGGTTTAAACTCTATGGGCTTACTGTTGAACTTTTCAACCCTAAACCTCTAAACCTTAACCGTGCCTTAACACTTAACCTGTAAGCCCGCTTGTGTTTTAATGCCAAATCTTAAACCCTAAGCCTTTCAACCTTAACCCTATGGCCTATAGAGTTTAAAGGTTGAGCGTTTAGGACCCTTAAGGTTTAAACTCTATGGGCTTACTGTTGAACTTTTCAACCCTAAACCTCTAAACCTTAACCGTGCCTAAACACTTAACCTGTAAGCCCTATAGGCTATAGGGTTAAGGTTCAAAGGTTAAGCGTTTAGGACCTTAAGGTTTAAACTCTATGGGCTTATTGTTGAACTTTTCAACCCTAAACCTTTAAACCTTAACCGTATAGCCTACAGGGCTTAAAGGTTTAGCCCACGATCCCGAAATCTATGGGCTTGTGACACATGACCTTGAGCGATGTCACGAAATTTACTTCTGAGACTTTATAGCGACGTCACGAAAGCTAAAACTGAGACTTTACAAGACGTGAACCCGATTGAAAAACGATTGAAACGATTGCAATTCAATCGGGGGCCCGATTGAAAAACGATTGAAACGATTGAAATTCAATCGGGGGCCGGATTGAAGATTGAAGATTGAAGATTCCCAGAAGAAAGCTTTCCGGGAATCTTCAATCTTCAATCTTCAATCCGGTCTCCGATTGAATTTCAATCGTTTCAATCGTTTTTCAATCGGGCCCCCGATTGAATCTTAAAGGTTTAGCCCACGATCCCGAAATCTATGGGCTTGTGACACATGACCTTGAGCGACGTCACGAAATTTACTTCTGAGACTTTATAGCGACGTCACGAAAGCTAAAACTGAGACTTTACAAGACGTGAACCCGATTGAAAAACGATTGAAGCGATTGAAATTCAATCGGGGCCCGATTGAAAAACGATTGAAACGATTGAAATTCAATCGGGGGCCGGATTGAAGATTGAAGATTGAAGATTCCCCAAAAAAAGCTTTCCGGGAATCTTCAATCTTCAATCCGGTCTCCGATTGAATTTCAATCGTTTCAATCGTTTTTCAATCGGGCCCCCGATTGAATCTTAAAGGTTTAGCCCACGATCCCGAAATCTATGGGCTTGTGACACATGACCTTGAGCGACGTCACGCAATTTTCTTCTGGGACTTTATAGCGACGTCACGAAAGCTAAAACTGAGACTTTACAAGACGTGAACCCGATTGAAAAACGATTGAAGCGATTGAAATTCAATCGGGGCCCGATTGAAAAACGATTGAAACGATTGAAATTCAATCGGGGGCCGGATTGAAGATTGAAGATTGAAGATTCCCCAAAAAAAGCTTTCCGGGAATCTTCAATCTTCAATCTTCAATCCGGTCTCCGATTGAATTTCAATCGTTTCAATCGTTTTTCAACCGGGCCCCCGATTTTTTCAATCGAGCTCACAATTTGAAAATACGACCACGCACATATGAAGACTCGCACATATCAAGATTTACATGTCCATATTGAGATTTACATGTTTAGCTAGCCCCTCACCCCCAACCCTAAAACCCTAAAACAGATCCCAAAACCACGAAAATACCTAGATCTTTGGGGGGGGGGGGGTACCATATATATATATATATATGTATACATCTCTCTCTCTCTCTCTCTCTCTTTATTTATTTTTTGGTATATGTACATACATACATACATATCTATATATATATATCTATATCTATTTCTATAGTCGCTATGTACCTAAGTAGCCCACAAGAATCCCTAGAAAACTCCTCAGGTCCATGATGAAGGTCCCTCCTTTAAATCCTTGATCACTGGTACCTCTTCAAGCTGAAGTTGACTCGTGGCAAGGCAATCCTGCGGTTTAGGGTTTAGGGTTTAGGGTTTAGGGTCTAGGGTTTAGGGTTTAGGGGTTTAGGGCTTAGGGCTTATAGGGTTTAGGGAAAAAGCAGCGGACCAAAACCTTCAAGCCCTGAAGCCCGAAGCCTGCACCTTAAGATCCTGCAGGCTGTGGAGCGCATGTTCCGTGCGCAGACTTCCCGGAACTTCTCGCCGCCTCCGTCGCTTGTTGCAAACAAATATGGGACATTGCGGGTTTGGGGTTTAGGGTTTACGGTTTACGGTTTAGGGTTTAGGGTTTAGGGTTTAGGGTTACCAAACATTTAGAAGGCCTGGTTACCGCATAATACAGCCCCTAGAGGAGCAGAAGCATGCCTGGCTCAAAATCATTTTAAAGCCCTAGCAGTGCTCTATTTGAAGGTTCATGGGTAGTTTCAAGTAGGGTTATCCTTATAGCCTTATTTTGGGGTCACTTATAACGACCCATGAGCCTCCAAGTAGCCCTCAACCCTAAACCCTAAACCCTAGTCCGAAGTGGACCTCCAAGTAGCACCTTTGTGGATGCTGCCAGGGCCTGGCAGGGCATGCGCAAGTCCTTGATCTCACAGTCGTGACACATGTTGTGCCAGCGGCTCCGTGCCTTATTCTACCATTTGCGTCCCCTATATTGCCCTTATAAGGCAGATGATATATATATATATATATGGTTCAGCGTCGAGCGTCCTGGGCCCCCCCGCCCCCCATGGTATCCCCCCCCCCCCCAAGCCTACTCTACGGTCCCTAAACCCTAAACCCTAAACCCTAAACCCTAAACCCTAAACCCTAAACCCTAAACCCTAAACCCTAAACCCTAAACCCTAAACCCTAAACCCTAAACCCTAAACCCTAACCCTAAACCCTAAACCCTAAACCAACCCCCAACCACACCACAGGGGGGGGGGATCATCTTAGTACCCCATCCGCGGGGAAAACCCTAAACCCTAAACCCTAAACCCTAAACCCTAAACCCTAAAGCCCTAAACCGTAAACCCTAAACCCTAAACCCTAAAACCCTAAAACCCTAAAACCCTAAACCCTAAACCCTAAACCCTAAACCCTAAACCCTAAATCCTTAAAACCCTAAAACCAACCCCCCACCACACCACAGGGGGG